GTTATTGCCATTATCCAATTTGTATTGTGGCCAGGCCATGGTGCAGAAGAAAATTAACCATTTAGGTATTATGATATCAGTAAGTCCCAATTGAATGTGGATTTCTTTTTCCTTAGAGTTTTACCCAGGCTGGAGTGCAGTGAGTGGCATGATCTTGGCTCACTGCAACCTCCACCTCTTGGGTTCAAGCAGTTCTCCTGCATCAGCCTCCTGAGTAGCTCCTCTTATTGCTGCCGGCTTCCCTTGCCCAGGGAGAGGGGTTAGTGCTAGCAGTCCACTCTGCTGGGCTCACCCGGGGGGGCATCTGGAGCCACTACCACGGTTGAGAGCTCTCCCTATCCCCAACCAGAACCTGCCAAGGCCCTGCGTCCCGCCACATGGAACCTTCACAAGGACATGGACAGAACAATTCCCCCTACCCGAGCTGTGACTCTAGGATAATCTCCACGAAAGCTGTGGGTAGTGGGGCTAACCAGACTCGCCCCTCTTTATTGCCTGCCGGCTTCCCTTGCCCAAGGAGAAGGGCACTGGCGAATCACAGGCTCCCCGGGTTGGGGAGAAATCTAGCCCAGTTACACCACCAACCCGCGGCCGGGCTGGGACTAGCTCCCAGCGGTTGGGTTATTTGCGGGCTCTGCCCCGCCCGCCCCACGGCCTTAGCCCTGCCCACAGCCCCGCTCGGCCCTGCCCTGCCGGAGACTTTCGTCCACTCCCGGGCCGCCTCAGCTCGGCCCACGGCCGGCCTTCCAGCGGCTAGCGCTTTTCCGGAGCTGGCGGCGTTCTTAGCCCCGCCCACAGACCTCTGCTTTAAGCCTAGCTGGCGACTTAATCCTCTGGCGCCACCTCCTGGGAGCCTGCAGACACTGTCTCCCTCTTCGGCCCAGAGCTGCTGCTGGCAGTCCACTCTGCTGGGTACCTGGGGGCCACCTAGAGCCACTACCAAGGTTGAGAGCTCTCCCTATCCCCAACCCGAACCTGCCCAAGGCCCTGCGTCTCGCCACACGAAGCCTTCACAGGGACATGGACTGAACAATTCACCGGACCCTAGCTGAGACTCTAGGATAATCTCCACCAAAGCTGGGGGGAGTGGGGCTAACCAGGGCCCCAGCAACCAGGTCTCCATGCTGTCCACGCTGTAGGCTGTTTGGGTGGGCCCCTTCTGCAGGAGCACCCCAACTCCAGCTGATGGGAGCCCCCGCTTTGAACTTCTTGCCGTACCTCATCCTCTAGATCTTCTACGGTCCCCACAGGGAAATGGTATCCAGCATTCCTCCATAGTGGCTTCAAATAATTATTTGCTGTTCTACAACAGGAAGAAAATTTTATGATCAGAATTAAACTTGGCCGGTTGCCATGGCTCAGCCTGTAATCCCAGCACTTTGGGAGGCCAAGGCTGGAGGATCACTTGAGGTCAGGATTTTAAAACCAGCCTGGCCAACATGGTGAAACCCCTTGAACCCAGGAGGTGGAGGTTGCAGTGAGCCCAGATCCTGCCACTGCACTCCAGCCTAGAGGACAGAATGAGACGCTGTCTCAAAATAAATAAATAAATAAAATAAAACCTAAAGTGTTTGTTTGGGTCAGACTTAGAATTGAACACGCCTCACACTATCCACAAGACCTGGACCAACTAACTCCCTTGCCCCTCTCTGGGCCTCAGTCACTTTGCCTCAAGGTAGTAGTCAAGATGATGACCAAAACAGGATGAGTCACCAATGGATTTGTACTTTTAAGATACAGAAATCCTGTAATCCCAGCACTTTGGGAGGCCGAG